TTGGAGGGAAGGATAAGTGTGTGGATGAATGGAGGGATACCAGGCAGCAGGAGCCATGCAAGCAGGAGGCTGTACCTTGTTTGAGGGCCCCCTCTCCTGCCCTGATGAAGGAGATCTCGTTGGAGTCCACCATGTGATGGGCCCCGTCCTCCAGCACGAAGCGCACGCCCGAGATGCGGTGCCCTGACACCAGCCCCTTCTCACAGGCATCTCTGAAGCCCTGGAACAACACCTCCAAGTCACCTCCAAGTCACCTCCAAGTCACCTCCAAGTCACCTGCAGCCTCTGCACTGCCCTGCTCAGCAGCACCTCCGTTTGATTTTACAAATAAAATATCACAGAACAAGGAAAAACGGCCTCAGGATTTGCCTTTTTAAGGGATTCCACGGCCAAACCCCAAAAGAATGCTCAGTGTGGAAAGAGCTCTTGCCTAGAGAACAAGATTCCTTTAAGAAAATGTGTTTTTTCAGGATTTGGCAAAAATTTTTAAGTGTTGCACCATGGAAAAGTGAAGGAATAACTGTAGGTTATTACAGGAATTCCAAGATGTTGGTAGGTTAATTAAAGCTGTGTGTGATAAATTATACAGTGAGGCAGTCACAAAGGAGATAAAGAAAGAGAATTTGGGAACTGAGGCAGGAAATGCAGTTTAATTACAGTTTCCTCCATAACTGGCCTCAGAGAAGTCACAGAAGTTGCATATTTGGGGCTTGGGAGGAGAACTGTGGGGCCACAAGCAGAAGCAGAAGAGGCCAAGGAAAAGCAGCTTGAGCAGGAGGCTCTGCCAAGGGAAACAGAACCAGCACACACCACCAAAGGAAACAGCAGCTCCTGAATGAACCCCAGGAAAGCCCAGGAATGCAAGACATGAAGTAAAACCACAGAGCTGTGATGCTGCTGCCACTGGAGCAATGGGAAAAGCCTCCTTTCCTGGGGCAAGGCAGGCACAGCAAATGTGGGTGGTACTGCAGGAAAAACAGCAATCAGGATTTTCTGTGCCACAGACAAAGGTTTGTACCTTTTCCACAGCGGGCACGAACTGCTTGGGAATATTTGTGCCAATGGTTCTGTCCTCAAATTCCAGTTTGGTGAAGTTCTCTGGCTCCAGGGGCTCCAGCACTCCGATCACTTTGCCGTACTGGCCTGCTCCTCCCGACTGCTTCTTGTGGGTGAACTCAAACCTAAACCCCAGCAATCCCCAAAACACCACGTTACTGGTGACACAAACCACAGCTTTCCATGGAAAACATTCCCATTCTGCTTTTCAGACGATCACAGACGGCCTTGGGTTGGGAGGGAATCCAAATTTACAATTCTATGGGCAGGGACTCTCTCTGTTATCCGAGGCTGCTCCACGCCCCATCCCATCTGGACAATTCCAGGCATAGAGCAGCCACAAATTCCCTGGAAAACCTGTGCCACGGCCTGCCCAGCGTGCCGGGCAAGGATTTCTTGCCGATATCCCCCCGAATTCTGTTTCAAACGCTGCCGGGAGGGATGCGCTGCCCCGTCCGCGGCTCGGAGCCGCCCCGCCCGCTCCGGCCCCGCCCGGGCGCTTCCTGCGGGAGGAGGAAGCGGCTCCCCGGGCACGGAGCCGCCCCCGAGCCGCTCCCCGGGCACGGAGCCGCCCCCGAGCCCATTCCCGGGCACGGAGCCGCCCCCGAGCCGCTCCCCGGGCACGGAGCTGCCCCCGAGCCCATTCCCGGCCATGGAGCTGCCCCCCAGCCAATTCCCGGCCATGGAGCTGCCCCCCAGCCAATTCCCGGCCAGCCGGGCCGCTGCCGTGGCCCTGGGCTACCTGTGCTACCTGCGGGGTGGCCCCGGCCGGGGGCTGCAGCTGCGGGAGCTGCGGAGCGCCCGGCACCAGGTGAGAGCGAGGGACCGGGACGGGACCGGGACTGGGGACCCGGCACGGGGGACCCGGCACCGGGGAACGGGACCCGGCCCCGGCTTCTTCCCACGGAGAGGGCAGAGCACCGGGAGCCGCACACAGTGTGGAGTGTCCCCTCTGGGACCATCCCAAAGCCACCCGGTGTCACCGCTCCAGGTGACCCCACCTGGGCTGGGTGATGTCCCAAGGTCCTTGCCAGGCTGTGTCCCTTTGGGGGTCCTGGCAGGAGCTCGGTGTCACCAGGGGCGGGGCAGCGATGTGAAACAGCCCGTGTGTCACCTGGGCACGGCACCGGCACCGGGCCAGGAGGAACCTCCCAGGGAGGAGGAGGAGGAGGAGGCTGCTGGGTGCTCCTGGGGGTGCCAGGACACAGCAAAGCCCTGCCCTGGGTTTGCAGGGACACCTGGCACCGCAGGGACACCAAACCTGGCACAACACACCTGGCACTGCAGGGACACAGCACACCTGGCACTGCAGGGACACCTGGCACTGCAGGGACACAGCAAACCCCCTCCCAAAACAAGGGTCAAATTCCAGCTGCTCCCTTCTCTATAGCCAGAAAAAACACAGGGCATGATCCAATTCATAATAACCTGCAAAATAGAATTAATAGAAGGAAGCACTGGAGGCTTTTAGGTGAGTATATAAGCAAGCAGCAAATTCTGGGATAGAAGCACCCAGGAGCCCAAAATTGGCATTTCAGGGGTGTTCAGGGTTAGAAGTGAGGGTGGGGAGGCCCTGGCACACAGTGCCCATCCCTGGCAGTGCCCAGGCCAGGTTGGACATTAAGGTTTGGAGCAGCCTGGGGCAGTGGGAGGTGTCCCTGCCCATGGCAGGGGATGATGGCACTGGATGGGATTTAAGGTCCCTTCCAATCCAAACCATCCTAGGATTCTCTGATTTTGTCCAGGCCATTCAACATTTACCAAAAGAAATATTATTAATATTTTCCCTTTTTTAGGACATTGATGATGTTGGGCACAAGTACTACCTGGAACTGGAGCTGGAAGATGTGCTGGACAAAGTGAGTCAGACTGCTTTCATTTCACACTCTGTGGACACAGCACTTGATACTTTGAACCATGCTCCTGATCAGGCCCCAAAAAGGCAGAATTTTAACCAAAAGGAACCCACTGAGCACGTGGTACCCTGCACTACACAATGCTGCAGGGATGACAGGGACGACGTTTCAGTGTCACTCAGCTCCAGCTGAACGGCACAAGGGACATTGTGCACCCCTTCCATCACTGCAGAAAGCTAACCCCACCCTTAAACATTCACAGGAATAACAGGAATTTAACCTTGTCCAAATAATCACAAATCTCTGCAGGACCAGACTCGGAGAAAACAGCAACTATGTAAAAATTCCATTTTCAGAAGTGCAGATTGCCCAGGTTATACACATATTCAATCAGATAATAATGCACATCATTAACTCTGCAACAGGCCAGGACTGTGAGCTGCACTGCTGAGGTTCTGTATCACCTGGGCAGCAAAACCTCTGCTCCAGATGTGCAGGTCACAGTGCAAGGAGAGCTCAGGAGCACAGAGGAAGCAGATCAGGAATTCTACAACTGGATCAGGAGCCTGGAAAAGGAACTTGTGGCTGAGAACATCCCAGGTACAACCCAGGGCTGGGAGAGGGCTCAGGCCTTCACCCTGCTGCTTCCCTTTCTATTTGGGGGGTCTGCAATCACAGGCACTGCATTTATTCCTGATTCTGAGTGTTCTGGCACTGTCACCTCTTCCTGCTCCCTCTGTGTCCTGGCACAGCACATCCAACACCCCAAACGTCCAACCAGGGGCTGCTGTCACCTCAGAGCAAGCCCTGCCTTCGAGAGCTGGCATTTATATTAGGAGAAAAAAAGAGAAAAAAAAGGAGCAGAACACCCTGGCAGTGTCCCAGGCCAGGCTGGATGGGGTTTGGAGCAGCCTGGGACAGTGGGAATGTCCCTGCCATGGCAGGGGTGGCACTGGATGGGATTTAAGGTCCTTCCAAACCATTCCAGGATTGTGTGAAGTGGGAGGGAAACTCTGTGGTGATGGAGCAGCTCTGCCAAAGGCTGTGGAAGGTTGTGTGACTTTAGCAGCAAGGCCTGTGGGAGGTGATAATGTTCTGTTAAGGGCTCTCTTTAACATCCAGTGTTTATTTTGGTTCCAGACAGCCATGGGAACGTTCCCCCAGAGCTGGAGCCCATCCACCTGCTGGCCTGGGTGGCCTCTGGCTTCGTGATCTGGCAGAATTCCACTGAAAACACCAAATTCCACCTTGCCCAAGTTAAACACGTGAAGCAAGTGGTGAGTTCCCAGCAGGAGCACAATCCCAGACTGGTTTGGACTGGAGGGACCTTAAAGTTCATCCCATTCCCCTCCTCCCTGCATGGGCAGGGACACCTTCCACAGCCCAGGGTGCTCCCAGCCCATCCAGCCTGGCCTTGGCTTTCCCTGGAAAGTATTCAAGAGCTAAGCAGTTGTGGCGAGGAGAATTAATTAAACGAACAGAATTCTACAGATCCTCCCAGTTTTGCTGTGTTCTATTAGAGAAAATAAATTCTGAGTTATAAATAACCCTAAAGTGATTGAAATTCAAGGCAGTTTCCCACAGGAGGCAGGAAAAAGCAGCAGGATTTAGGATTTAGAAAACCAAAAGCTCCAGAAGTTTTGTCCCTGTGAACAGAATTCCCAGGAAGTTCTGGGTCTGAAGGAAAGACAGGAATTCCCTGTGGGAGCAGGATTTGTGAGTGTTTTGCTCCCTCTGATGGCATTTTAGAGAATTCACAGCTGCTGCAGGGCTGTGCACCAGCATAAAGATGTTCTAACAAATTTAAGGATAAAGGAGACAAATACCAATTAACTAACCCAGCTGCCATCTCTCCTGGGTAATTTTGTCTCCTTTTCCCTGAAAAGAACAGGAAAGGAGTCTCTTCCAAAGGCCAGGGGGTTTTTTTGTCACTCAGAATCCCTGACTGTCACTCACTGTAAGGCCTCTGGAATGTCCTTGTCCTCAATTTTATTTGGGATTGTTTGGGTTAAACTGACACCTTCTAGAATGAGGTGTTTCCATCCCAAAGAATTCCTGACTGATCTGGTCTCTGTCAGGCAGGAATTAGAGGTTTAAAGCTTTACATTCAGTGTCTCCTGGGCAGTTTTGGAGTGCACAGAAATTCAAACCAAGAGCTGCAATTTTGTTCCAGTGCCTGAGCTCCACTTGCTTAATTTGTGATCCTGAGCTGCCAGTTTTATCTGAAATCCATCAGGGAATTTTTGTGATCACCACAGAGAACTGAATCACTTTTTCTGAGGTGGGAGAATCCCCAAATCCACCCCTTTTCATCCTGTCTTTCCAGAAAAGAAGTGATGAAGATCTTCAGTTTGACTACGTGGTTCTACTCCACGAAATGGTGTCCCAGGTAAATAATTTTATTCCTAAAAAGCCTTTTTTGGGTGTTTTAGGACTGAGCTCCAGCTCAGACACAGAATTGATCCTGCAGGGTGAGCTCAGGGTCCCCATCCCTGCCTGTCTCAGCATTCCAGGAGCACCAGCAGCAATTTCCAGCTGTTTTGGGGCTTTCTTGGGAATGGCTGAGGTTCAAAACTGCTCCCTCACAGCTCTCCCCTGGGAGATCCCAGTGCCAAAGTGAGCAGGGATAAAGGGAAGGGAAATCCTGGATGCTCAGCAGAATTCCAGCTGGGCTCTGGATGCCTCCATGGCCCAGGACAGAGACCTCAGCAATCCCAGTAACCCCCAGCACAAACTGGCCCCCAGAACAGCATTTACATCCTGTGCTGCTCTCCAGCACAATCCTGGGATCTGGGCAGGTGTTTTCATAGGAAAACCCCAGAAAAATCGGGAAGAGAACTCTCGACTGTAACAATCCAGGGATCTCCCTCCCAGTCCCAGCTCTGCTGCTCCTGACCCTCCCTGCACTCCCTCGGGTTTAATTCCCCATTTTTCCATGAAGAAAACCCCAGGCTGGCTAGGGGAGGGCAGCAGGGGTTGTTCACGTGCTGTGTGTGTCCCACAGGAGGTGCTGCCCTGGCAGGTGACCCTGCTGTGGCACCCCCAGCGTGGGGCCCGGGTGTCCCAGTGCCAGGGACCAGGAGCAGGGAACACCTGAGCACCCCTGGGAGCAGCTCCAGAGCTCCCAGCCCTGGCAGGAGGCACAGAAGGAGATGGGAGTGAGGATCTACCACGGTACAAGAGACGAAATTAAAACTTTCCTGAGCGTTTCTGATCTGAGAATTCCAAAGGAACTTCCTCAAGAATTGCCAGCAGGAATACTCACGGCACAGGGGCACAGATGTTCTCCCTGAAGGCAACTTTGGGCTTCCCCATGGTGCAAGGACAACCATATTCCCTCTCCATTCTCTGCAGGAAAAAAAATCCACAGTGATCAGGGGGATTCCATTGGGAATTATTTAGGATTCATCACTTTTTCGGTTGGGGGCTTTTCGTTGTTATTTTTAAATTAACAAATTATTCCACATCAAGACCTGCAGCTTCAGGTGCAGGAAAAGGAAACAGCATTAATTATGTTATTAAAATTTAAGTTTTTCAAGGCAAAATTGACTTTTTCTTCATTCTGTCAATGTTTAAGATACATCTTTGCTGTTAAGATTAAAATATGGACATCAGCTGGAATGAAACAAATCCCTGTAACTACTCCTTTCTCCCTGCACCAGCTTTTATTAGGGAATGGTACATTTAAAACCACAGAAACAGGATTTTTCTGCAGAAATTAATTATAATTAGGTATTATTAATTATTATAAGCAAAGGCTGCTAGAGTAAAGTGTAGTGTTGAATACATTTTGCATGGATTTGAACCAAATCCTAAAAATACTCCAGGCAAAAATTCCTTTTAGAAGCCTTCAGAATGGAACCACTGGAGAGGAAAGAACCTTCAAAAGCTGATTTAAAAGCTCAACTTTTCCCTAAGCAGCAGGGAGGAACAGGGAGGAGGAAGAGGAGATGGGAAAAGCAGAATCCATGGAATGTGGTTCCCAAATTACCTGGGCATAGATTTCCAGGTGCAGCTCCCCCATGCCAGAGACAATGGTCTCCTTGCTCTCCTCATCAAAGTGGATCCTGAAGGTGGGATCTTCCCTGGTGAAGCGACCCAGGCCTTTGGAGAATTTATCCAGATCATTCTGAAACACAAGCCAAGCTTTACTCAGCATCCAGGAGTCATTCCAATCATAAAGCCTCAAGTTTTCCCCATCCACTCCTGAGCATTTCTGCTCTTTGGGGTTATTTTATGGATTTTATAACTCTTGATTAAAGTGTTCATTATTTCTTTCAAGTTCATGTTTCTGGCTGAGTGACAGCATGCAGCTCAGCCCTGGGTTATCCAAGGGTTAAAATCTTGGATATTTGGGATTAAAACACTTTCAAGCAGTGCTTAGATTGTTCCATAAAATCACAAAGCAGCAAAGGGAGGGAACTCGGGGAGAAGAGGCTGCTCCAAAGGCTCCCACCTTGTTGGCAGGCTTCATAGCCACGGAAATGACAGGATCAGGGACGTGGATGGATTCCTGTGGGGCCAAGGACAAGGACATGATTAGAAAATTCCAGCCAAATCCCGGGGACTCCCAGGGCAAGGGGGGCTCACCATGGAGATGTCAGTGCTGGTTTTGTCTGTGAACGTGTCCCCACTGGCACAGTCGATCCCAAACAGGGCACAGATGTCTCCAGCATAAACCTCGTTGACATCCTGAGGGGAGGAAAACTCCTGTTCAGACAAGTCTGGGGCAAGAGGAGCTCTGGCTGCCCCTGGAATTGTCCAAGGCCAGGCTGGACAGGGCTTGGAGCACCCCGGGACAGTGGAAGGTGTGCTCATGTCACTGGATGATCCTTAAGGCCCTTTCCACCCCAAACCACTCCAGGATCAATTCTGTCTTTCCCTCACATCCCAACTCCACCTGGAATACAGAAGATCCATAAACACTTTGTTTTAAAGGTGGACACCGAGCTCCTTTGGATTAAAAACCCCTGCAAATCTCCCTGTTTATTCAAAGCACAAAAGGCAGGGCTCAGCCTGGATTAATTCAGGATGCAACAAGAAGCAAAGGTGTCAAGAAGCAAACACCATCAGGCAGCGCTGACCCATGCAGGGGTACATATTATGGGCTGGCAGCCCATCCCTGGGGCTGCACTCACCTCCATGTTGTCCGAGTGCATCCGGACCAGTCTCTGCACCCTGACCTTCTTCCCCGTGCGAGTGTTGTAGATGTAATCTGATTTTTTCAGCATGCCCTGGTACACCCTGACGTAGGTTAACTGCCCAAACCTGCCGGCCTGCAAGCACAAAGCACCAAAAATCTCATCATTCTGGCAGCCAGCACCAATTCCGAGCACCAGCTGCACTGCAAAAATGGAAATGGAAGATTTTTTTTTTTTTGCTTGGCTCTGCAATGGGATTTGGAGATTTTCTGAAGCAATTTTTCACTCCCAAACCTTCCCAACAGAGACACGGGTTACCATGGAATCTGGCCAGACATTTTCCATATTCCAAACAAATCCTGAAGTGCTGCTCTTTAAATTAGCAAACAACTTCTTTGCTTAACTCTCTGCACTTTTTCCTCTCTGACTCTCTCACATCTCATTGTTTCCAAACGCAGGATTTTCCCCTGAAAATATTTCAATTAAACCAACAAACGTTCAAGTTTTAACCAAGAAAACCAGGAAATACTTGAGGTCCAGAACCCACCCTAAAGTTCCAGATTGGCATCATTTGTACATCTTATGGTTGAATTTTTTTTTTTTTAATAAATTAAATTTCAATTGAAGTTAAATATGAACTGATTGCAGTATAAAGTGATTTCAAAGGTAAGTTTTGGTAGCACCACCTGGAGTGTCTCCATGACCTGTGGGAAGGAGCAGTGACTCACCTCCAGTTTGAAGGCAAGGCCGATAAAAGGCTGGGAATCATCACGAGCAGAGTTCAACAGGAACTTGGTCTGATCCTGAGAATCCCTTAAAAACAGGGATCAGAGGGAGGGGAGGTTAGGAACCAACACAGGAGTCTCCTCTAAACGTTTATGGGCTCTGCTCTTGGAGTTCCCATGTCTGGGTGGGCTCTGCTCGCAGGGAACAGGGACAGGAGGAGAGGGAACAGCCTCAGGCTGGGCCAGGGCAGGCTCAGGGTGGAATCAGCTGGAATTTCCCCATGGAAAAAGGGTGGTGAGGTCTTGAAGGGGCTGCCCAGGGAGGTTTGGAGTGCCCATCCCTGGAGGTGTCCAAGGAATTCCTGGATGTGGCACTCGGTGCTCTGGGTTGGGTGACAAAGGGAGGATTTGGCACAGCTTGGACTCGATGATCCTGGAGCCCCTTTCCAGCCTCAGGGATTCTGGGATTCATGTCCATAAAAATAAAAAGCTATTTACACACTTGGGATGGGGTCCCTCCTCTAGGCAGGCCTGGCTTTGAGGGCTGCCATCAGTTCTAAAGAATTATTTGATAATCATTGTCCAAATGTAACACGGATTGGGTAAAATCCCAGTCCAGGAAGTAACCTTAGAATGAGAGAGCAGCTTTGGGACTTGGTGCCAAATTCTGGTGGCATTGTTTGATACCAATGGTAAAGGATTATGGCTCTTGTTAGGAATGTTTCCTGCTTCGAAACAATTCCATGGAATGCCAGATTTGGTTTGGGTGGGAAGGGTCCTTAAAGCCCATGCAGTGCCCCTGCCCCTGGGGCCACTCACCCCTGGTTGAGGAGAGCGTAGTTCTCCACCTCAGAAGGATTGGGAAGGTATTCCAGGACAGCATCCAGCAGTGGCTGCACCCCTTTGTTCTTCAGGGCACTTCCCACGAGGACAGGGGTGAAGGATTTCTGCAGCGTTGCCCTTCGGATTGCCAGCTGAAAAACATCCCTGTGAGTTCCTCCTGCAGCACAGCCCAGTTAATTCCCTGGCTTTCCTGGGCTTCTCCACTCCTGGAGCAAAGAGCTGCTCCCACACATCCCTGGACACCCCCAACACAAGAGCTTCCCATAAAACCAGAATTCTTTCCAATGCAAAGCAAAACCAAGTTGGGAATGGAAGGAATGGGAATTCGGCTGAGGTGCCAACTCCAGCAAACAGAATTCCTGATACATTTATTGAGGGGACAGGGACTCAGGTGAGGGAACAGCCAGCACAAGGAAGGTACCTTTAGCTGTGCAGCCGTGGGAATCTTCTCCTCCAGGAACAGCTCCCCCAGGAGCTCATCAGCGTTGGCCACGCACTCGATGAGCTCCCGGCGCCGCTCCGCAGCCTCCGCACGGAACTCGGCCGGGATCTCCTCGAACCTCAGGGTCTGGCTGCACACACAGGGACACTGTGACTGCCAGGAATGCCACAGGCACCGCCCTGCCTGAGAACAACCCACCCTTCCCCTAGATCCTGGGAAAAAAACCCCCTGTGAACATCAGCGTGTTATCTCTGATGTGGGGGAATCCTTCCCGCTGCTGGCAGGAGATCCAGAGATCAGGAAAACTTCCCAACAGCCTCACCCACGGCTTATCTTCATCCCAGGGATGCTGCAGGATCCCATCATGGAGCAGCCCATGGTCGGAAGCGTGGCCACCATCCCTTCACAGCAACCAAGTCCTGCTGCAGCCACCCCCACCCAGTGCAGGACCCTCAGCCCCAGCACAAGCCCATTCCCAAATTTCCACAAGAGCTGGGTTTCATCTCTGAAGAGGAACTGCAGGAATTCCTCCTGCAAAGAGCAGCTCCAGCTAGGAAAAAAGCAATTTCCAGGACTTACCCAAGTGCCCCATCAAAATAGATTGCTTTTTCTTCAATGAGATCTATAATTCCTTTAAAGTTTCCCTCCAGCCCAATTGGAATCTGAACAAAAGCTGCATTGTGTTTCAACTTGGATCTGAAAAAGGAGAAAACAAGAATGGTCTTTGAGCAACATTCCCCTCCCACCAAATCCCTGTGCCCAAATCTGCCAAAATGAATAAAAACCACCCAGTTATGGTTTAGGGCTTTGTATCCCACTTTTTTGTATCCCACCAGGCCCAGGGAGCAACTCCCACGGGAAAGGCAGCAGGGGAAACCAGTTTGAGATTGATTGCTTGATTAAGGGAGTTGCTTCTCCCTTTAATGAGTATTAATGAGTTTATCTCATGGATCAAATTAGGCAGGGAGTAAGCAGGACCTCCAGGAATCCAAACCACCCCATGTCACCTCCCTGCTGGAATTTCAGCAGCACCAGGATCTGGGGAAAACTAAGAGGCTGCTTTTAAAGCTGGTCCTGATACAGTTCCATCAACAAAATAAACATCAAAGCCCAGCCCCTGGTCACTGCAAGTCTTGGCTGACACCAATATTTGGGGGGTTTTGGGACAACAGATATTTGTCCTGGGTCAGGTCAGGAGTCAGGAATTCTCCAAACTGCAGGTCCCAAGAGAAGCCTTTCCAATATTGCTCCTAATGACCTGCCATGGGAGTGGAATTTCAGGAATCACTGTGAATGCCACAAACCTGAGCTGCTGCACTGCTCTGGCCGGGTTGGAGCCCATCCTGTCCAGTTTGTTGATGAAGGTGAGGAAGGGGACGTTGTAACGCCTCATCTGCCTGTTGACTGTGATGGTCTGGCACTGGACACCTCCCACAGCACAGAGAACCAGGATGGCTCCATCCAGCACCCTCAGAGACCTCTCCACTTCAATGGTGAAGTCCACATGGCCTGGACAACAAACACAAATTAAAATGATGAATGCACTGGAAAGGAGCAACAGCCAAGGGAATCAAACTGAGTCCCATCAGCTCAAGTGATGGGGGATGGAGTCATGGAATGGTTTGGGTGGAAAGGGACCTTAAACCCCATCCCACCATCCCAGGCTGCTCCAAGCCTCATCCAGCCTGGCCTGGGACACTGCCAGGGATCCAGGGGCCTCCCCACCCTCCCAGGGAACAATTCCTCCCTAATATCCCATCCAACCCTCTGTCAGTCTGAACCCATCCCTCCATGTTCCACCAGAACCAGGGACACAAAGATGCACCACATGCCCTGTATCCATGAGACCAGCACTGCCCAGGTGTTCCCAGCTGCCCTGACCTGGTGTGTCGATGATGTTGATGTTGGTGTCCTTCCACATGGTGTAAGTGGCTGCAGACTGGATGGTGATGCCCCTCTGTCGCTCCAGCTCCATGGAATCCATGACAGCTCCAACTCCATCCTTACCTTTCACCTTAGGAGAAAAAAGAAAAAATAAAAGTAGTTCAAAGAGTTTGCTAAGAATTCATATTCCATCCCTGGAAGTGTCCAAGGCCAGGCTGGATGGGGCTTGGAGCAACCTCATCTATGGACAGGTGAGCTTTAAGTTCTCTTCCCACCCAACCCATTCCACAATTCTATGAATCCATGTGCAGGAGTGAAGCTTATGGACTGAGCATCATCCCTCGTGCAGAGGGGAAAGGCAGCACAGCGTGCAGGTGCACAAATCCCTGCTGGGGGCTCAGGCCGACCTCGTGCATCTGTGCGATCCTGCCCGTGTAGAACAGGATCCGCTCTGTCAGCGTCGTCTTGCCCGAGTCGATGTGAGCCGAGATGCCGATGTTCCTGATCCTCTCGTTGGGAAGGACTCCCGAGGAGCAGCGCCTGCACGAGGTCAGCAGGAGCTGCAAGGCCAGAGAAGGGCACGGGGTCAGCCAGGAGTGCATCCAACACAGCTCACAGCACACGAGGAATGGGACAAGGGGAAACGGCCCCGGGCTGTGCCACGGGAGGCTCAGGTTGGACACCACGAGGAATTTCTCCGTGGAAAAGGTGGTCAGGCTTTGGAAGGGGCTGCCCAGGGAGGTTTGGAGTTACCATCCCTAGAAGTGTCCAAGGAATTCCCTGGACGTGGCACTCAGGGCTGGGGACAAGGTGGGGATCGGGCACAGCTTGGACTCGATGGTCTTGGAGGGCTTTTCCAACGTGATTTATCCTGGCATTCACAGTGTCCATGGCTAAACTGCCAAACCGCTTCCCTACGCCTTCCTGTCAATCCATGGCGACCCGGTCACCTCGAGCCGAGTCAACTTGCCAGGGTCACCTCGGAGCTCTGTCTCACCACACCCCGCACCCCTGCACGCCCGTCCCGCTGCTCCCTCCCGGTGTCCGTGTCCCTGTCCCCATCCATGTGACCGCGGCCCGTCCGGGGCTGTCCCTCCGCCCTCCACTCCATCCCCTCCGCTCCCGGCTCCCTCCCCTCTTGGGGCGCCGTCCCCTCCCGGCGGGGCGGTGCCGCTGTCGGTACCTGGATGTGCCGCGGGCGGCCCGGGGCCAGCCCGGCCCGTAACACCCCGAGCATGGCTCCGGCTGCGGCTGCGGCTCCGGCCCCGCTCCCGGCTCCAGCCCCGGCTCGCTCCCGCCTCTTCCGGGGCCTCGCGCAGGCGCCGCGGGCCCGCCCGGCCCCTCACGGTCCTCAGGGAGCGGCGGAGCCGGGAGGGAGCTCCAGGGAAGGAATGAGGGAAGGGAGGATCCCGCCGAGGCCATCCCGGCTCCCCCCTGCCCCGCACGGCTTCTCATGGAGCGGCGGAGCCGGGCAGGAGCAGCGAGGGCTGAATGAGGATGGGGAGGCTCCCACCGAGCCCGGCCCCTCACGGAACGGCGATGCCGGGCAGGAATGAGGGAGGGGAGGCTCCCCCAGGGCCCGTCCCGGCTCCCACCCGGCCCATCCCGGTTCCCCCCGGGCCGGGCCCTGGCCCGGAGCGATGCTGACCCAGCCGCGGGCAGGCCCGGGCTGCTCACCCGGAATTCTCCGACTGAAAGGGGCGGATTTCAACCAAACCATGGGGCGGGACGGAGCCCGGGATGGGCGTTAGGGTCACAGCCGCAGGAGTTTGGGAATGATGAAGAATTAGAAACAACTGGCCCAGGGAAAAGGGAAGACAAGGGTGGGATGGGCACAGGGCCCCGGTTGGAAGACGCCGTTAAGTGTTACAATACATTCTTGATAGAAAATTAACCCCCGAGAATTGCCTTTCATACCTGCGAAGGCTCCAGAAGCGGCTCTGAAATAAAGGAAGGCGCCCTCTCCATACTCTGTTTGGTTCCATCAAACTTTATTTTTGTGGAAAATGCATACTCACTCACCTCTGGAAAGGGAGGGATTTCCAGAGAAGCCCAGAGCGGTTCTGCTGAATCTCATCCCATTCCACCCCTTCATGGGCAGGGACACCTCCCATAGCCCAGCTTTCCTTCACTGAATTGTTTCAAAGCAGAAATAAATAAAATAATAATCGAAACGAAATAATGCACAAGTCCCTCTGCGGTGTAGAATAAACCAACAAACACCATAAATAATAAATAACTTTATTAAAGAATTGCAGTTCCAGATGCTTTTACAGAGCACAACACTGGAGAACAGTCTTGGTGTAGCAAAGGAATCTGGAGGGAATATTCACCTCTTCCCATTGTCATTTCAAAATTTTTGTTTTATTTCACACAAAAATCCGAGTTGTCAGGTGAATCTTCCATGTAACAGCAGCAGCTCTCCAAGATTCCTGCTCAAATTCCAGCACAGAAAAGATTGCAGCTGTTAATTACTGAGATTATCTAATGAATTAATTGCAGAATCCACGTTGTCTCCAGGGGATGGAAGATGAGCCCAGGGTTGAGCTCTGACTTTGAGGGGTGTCCAAGCCCCCCTGACCTTCACTGCTCATTAAATGATTCAATTATTGCCATTAATATTGATCACATCAACTTATTGCCACTGATACTTCTCTAATTCAGGAAGAGACCACAAGCAAATAATTTGTCCTTCCCTTTTCAGAGCTCAACAAAAGTGCTGCTGATTGAGTTTGCACATTAATAAACATTCATTAATTAAAATTAAATAATCTGGGCAAACTGCAGGAAGATTAAATATGATTTAGAGGCTTTCTGGCCAAATATTACTCTTAACTGACTAAACCCTATTTTATGATACAAACAGTACTTTTAAAGGCTACATTATAATGGAGCCTTGAGTTTATTTAATGCTTTAATGTTATTAATTTATATTATTTAATTTACAGAAATGCTTTCTGCTATACCTGGAATCCCAGGACTTTGCTGCTCTCAGACACTGCTGGCTCTTCTAAACTCCTATCAAATGTAGATTTGGGGTCATTCTACCCTCAGTAAAACACAAAAAACACAGAAGGAAAGGGGTTCCTGTATCCAGGGCTCTTTAGAACACAAGAAATGGTGAAATCATTCCAGTTAAACTCATTTTTCCCATGAGTAACTCCTAGTTGCAGCTGATCTCAGGACACTGTTATTACTGCAGGATAATGAAAGTAATTAAATACTACAGACAATCCTCAAAATGGAAATTGATGGGCCAACTCCACAGAAAACAAACAATCAGGAATACAGCTGACAATTCAGGCACAGGAAATGAGGGGCAAGCACAGCTTATTAACATAAAAGCTCTGATAAATTTAAAGTATTGCCATATTTCAGCATTTCCTCTCACTTGATGTTACACCAAGGTGAGTGTGGGGGTTCTGTAAAAATTGATAATATGATTTTAAAGGTATAGATAATAGTGTTTTATAGTATATTCGAGTTCTAGAAAATCAGTCATTATTTCAGCAACCCAAAATAAAGGAAATTTACTTTGTGTGCAAGTTAGAGTGGGAAGGAGGAGCTGCAATACCAGGCTTAGTAAAGCCTGAGTTTGATGCAGCTGGAGCACAACAACTCTGCAAATCCAAGCTGGTTTTAGCAGGATTAGAGATGCTCCATAAAGTGCTTTTTAGGCAGAGAGTTGTTGGCTTTGCATTGAGTGGGGAGCTGAGGTTTGAAGGACATTCAGAAGCAGCCAAGGCACAACACAGAACAGAGATTGGTCACAAATCCGGGTGTATTTTATGGACACGAGCACTGAGCACCATCACTGCTCCAGGGAATCTCCACCCCGAGGCACTGGGGACAGTTATTTCTTGGAGCCCTTCAGGGGAACGTGTGTTCCTTTCACACTCAGTGTCTCCAGGGAATCTCTGGGCATTCTGGATCCTGGAGCTCCAAGTGGTTTCTCTCTGGAAAAAGAAAAACCATGAAAAAGGAGAAATAAAACCTGCAGTTCCCCTTGGAATATTGCTCCACAACTGGATTTTCCTTTTGTTGCTGGAATTTTTTTATCCTGCAGGATAGCAGGGAACTATTTTTACCTTCTTGATCCACTTTCTCTGGGGCTGTAATGGATACTTCGGAGTCTTGGGTTTTCCACAGCTTCCCTGCTTCGGCAAGGCCTGAACTTCATGATCTCTTTCTGCCACTCCTCATCAAATGTGGCAGCCTCAGCTGAAAAACATACATTTATTTAAAATGTTATTAAAGACAGGAAAAAAATATTTAATGGGTTAAGCAGTGATTTTCAACTTTGTAGTTCACAATCCTCCACATGGCCTGCAATTGTTTTTGGGATCTGTAAAAGAGAATTCAGATTTGGAGACTTTCAGTCTAAAAGTGCCTTTTAAGGTATCTCAAGCTGGAACTTCCAAATCTGAGTGTGAAACAGTGTAAAGCCCATTAACTGCTAAAAAACACCTACATTCATCCAGGTTGATGAATTCTTGGTTCATCTCCTCATCCCCAGTCCTGGAGTTCCTGGATTTTTTGACAACATGAGCCCGATCCTGAATGTGGTGACCAATGGCTATTTTCTCCAGGCCACTTTCAGAATCCTTCAGTGCTCTTCTTGTTTCCTTTATCTGTTAAAAAAAAAAAAAGAAAAGGGAACTGAGTGTCCTTCCAAGCCAAAAATGAGGTAAAAGAGTTCACAGAATCCCAGGATGCTTTGGGTTGGAAGGATTTAAAGCCCATCCAGTGCCACCCCTGCCATGGCAGGGACACCTCCCACTGTCCCAGGCTGCTCCAAACCCCATCCAGCCTGGCCTGGGCACTGCCAGGGATCCAGGGGCAGCCACAGCAAATCTGGGAACAATTTCCTTCCCAATATCCCATCCAACCCTGCCCTCTGCAGTGGGAAGTCATTCCACTTTTCCTGGTACTCCAAGCCCTTTCAAAAGGTTAATTCCTCCCCTAACAGTTTTGTATCTCTCCTTTAAAAAAGTCAGGTTTTCCAAGCTTTTCCAATTCTCTCATTTCCTGTGTTGGCTGCAAACCCACCGACAAAACACAAATGAAGCCTCTTTTCTTTCAACCACCAGAGAGGAAAATGAAACAACACCTTTTTTAATTATTGGGGGAAAAAAAACCCCTCAGTTTAAAAATGCTACAGAGCCAAATTTCCAACATTCTCCTCTGCAACAGAAAGAGCAACCCAAATTCCCAGCATGAGGAACAACCAATTCTTGGGCTGTGGTGTTGAGTGGTTTGGAAGCCAGGCTGTCCCTTATCATTGTTAGATAAGGGGAATTCTCAGAACCTTGTGATAAGAGCCTGTGCTGGAGCAGGGACACATTCCCAGCCAATGCTGCCTTTAGGGATCCTGTCTAGGATTTCAGCTTCACATTCCCACTCCCAGTTCCCAGCAGGATTAGACACAACAGCTGCAAGGCAGCTCCAGCTCAGGGTTATGTAAGTGCCTGGGCAAAGGGCTGCAGGAATCAGTGCCTCTCCTGGAGTTTGAGTGAACAGCAAAAGGATTCATTGCAGCAAAATGAAGGGCATTGAAAAATTGCTGCTCTTTGCTTTGTTTTCCCAGCCTTGGATAGGTCTGTAATTTATTTTAGGGTGTTACTTAAAGTACAAAATTACAGAGAGGAAATCAGACCTTTAATACAGAGCAGGGGTTGAGAGCCCTGTGCTTTCCTCAACTCCTACATTTTTTTTGTGAAGTCGGGGGAGGGGTCAGGATCTCCTCCCAGGGAACAGGGACAGGGGAGGACACGAGCAGGAATTTGTCCATGGAAAGGATTGTCAAACACTGGAAGGGGCTCCCAGGGAGCTCTGGAGGTGTCCAAGGAATTCCTGGATGGGGATTGGGCACAGCCTGGACTCAATCCAACCTCAGTGACCCAAAATTCTGTAAATTCCAGGTGCAAGTGCAGTAAAAGCAGCTGCAAACACTGCTTTGGTGAGGCTGCAGCTGCAGCCCAGCATCACTCACCCCTCCTGGAGCCGTGCGGGTCTGGGCTGAGGCCTGGAACACTTTGGGGGGCTCATCCCCCACTTTGGAATAAGTCATCATGGAGGAGGAGCTGAAACTGTGTCCTCCACTGGGCTGGATGGACAGGTCATCCTACAAAACAAGGCAGGCTCAGGAAAACAAGAAAAAATTTGTGGTTAAGAGTTATTCCTTATTATTTTATTATGGGAAATAGCCCTTCAGAAAATTAACCCTCCTGGCACCACAGAAAAAATCAGTTTTGTCTTCAAAGAATCAAGAAAAATAATAAAGACAATAAAATCTGGGTAAAAATCCCTCAATTCTTACAATCTCCTTGAGATTAGTCCCATTTTTCTTGGCATTATTTTCTGAGGAATATTTGAAATAACTGGCAAACTCCAGCGCCATAATTTTGAGAATAATTTTTAAAAGAACTCACAAATTTCCTGTGCATTTCCAGCATGCTGTTCCTCATGTTTGACATCATCCTGTCCATTGCAGAAAATGGATCCCCAAAATCTACATCCTGCTAAAAAAGGAAAAAAAAGAAGAAAAAAAAAAGACTCTAGTTAAACCAGTCTCAACTCTCCCAGTCCTGAAGCTGCTTTTCACATGCATTTTTAACTCAAAAAAGCTTTTCAGACTGCACTTCACACACAGACAAGCCAAAATGCATCTTTGCAAAAGGAAATCGAGGGAGCTGATTAAGATGGAGATATTGGGAAAAAAAAAAAGTGGAAGATTTGTCACTCAGATGTCAAATTGGCCACAAAATGAGTTTATTTAACAAAAACGTTCACTGCATATTCAAATATCCAATTATTTCACAAATGTGTTCATAAACCCTCTGACCTCACCAGCTTCTGCTCTGAAAGTCCTGTATGACCCTTCAGGGTTTAAATTGAAATAAATTCATTTTCACAGCATTACAAACTTAAAGCTGCATTTAAGCCCAAAATGAAATCAAATTCAAGGACAGAAAATCTTCCAGTTATTTTTGGAGTACAAGAAATTAGAATCCTCTGGGTAAGAACTATGGACAGATGATGGAAATTTTACAGGATATTCCCAAAGCACAGCTGGGAATCACTCCAAGCTCATTTTAAGGGTAATTTTATTTTTTGGGGCTGCTCTGCCTTACTGAGAGCATTGCTTTTGTGTCAGCCCCATAAAAACATTCTCCAGCAGCACTCAAAATTTGCAGTTCCCCAGGGATTATCCCATCCATATCCAGAGGTTAATGGCCCAGGAAGGAATTTTTTTTTTTTATTCCCAAAGAATAGGAAATATTGCAAAAAAGCACCAAAAGCAGGATGCAAGCACAGAGCTCAGCCTCTGCCATGCTTTGGTTACACACAGTTTACACAGCAGTTACTCCAGGGATACTAACCCCTCTCCCAAAACCTGCAAAGGGCATGAGGGAGAAACTGGTGGCCTGGAAAAAAAAAAAAAAAAAAAAAAGGAGCAACATCTGGAATTATTATCAGGAACAGCAGAAACCACCTTTATAAGCAGCAGATTACAGGAAACATTTCCCATCTAATCAAAATCACTCGGGAGAGCCTTGGTAATTAATTAATTAATTAATTAATCAATCCCTAGCTATGTGGAAATAATATATTTATAGTGATGATATTACAAAGTGCCAACTGCCACCACATCTCATAAATATTGCCAAGGGTGTGTGAAAAGCACTTGGAGGTTGGCAAACACCTGAACACCAAAAAAACCTCGGTGCTGATTTCACATTTTTCCAGTCAGGCAGCACTGAAAGCTGATTAAAATCAACAAATCAATCAATCAAATTATCCCAGGAGATTTGAATATTCCTGCATGGCAGGGCAGGGAGATCCTGGGGAACACAGAGGAGTTTCCAGGAAATGCCTCACACACAGGGGGTGCCACAAGGAGCAAACACTTGGCAGGAACTTGAATGAAAAAAAAAAAAAAAAAAAAAAAAAAAAAGGAATTCTCCAATTCTGCAATAGCTTTAGGAACTCTTCAGTTTTCTGTCAGCACAGATTAGGCAGAGCTGTAAATAATAATATATATTTTTTTTTTCTCAAGTCCTCACCAGGAGGAGTTATTAGGCATACAAACCTTCTAAACTCTGTTTTATGACACTAAAAAGCCACTAAAAGCTGTTGAACATTTACCTGATAAACAGGATAATCAGACATCAAAAAAACCCTCAATATCTATTAATAGATATTAACAATAACAATATTAACAATATCAATTAATATATTTTAGCTCATTCCTCCTCCCCTAAAAACTGAATTGCAAAGCTGCTGGAGAAAGGAAAAGCAGTTTTAAATTTGAATCCTACAGTGGCATTAATGGCCAGGGAGGGCTGGAGAGCAGTGATGGGACATTGGGACATTGGGACATTTCTGTGGCCCAGCTCTGCTCACTTTACACATCCCCACAGCAGCCACATGCAGGCACCTCTGTGAGCCAAGTGAACATTAAATAAAAAAAAAAAAAAAAGGAAAATACACGTGCAGAGAAGGTGGGACAGTTTTAGTGCCTTTCTCTAGAGATATTTTAAAGATGATTTTTCTGAAAGCAAGCACTGGGTGAGTGATCAGGTTTTCTGCTCAGTGATCAGTAACACCCAGCAGCCCTGACAGATGTTCAGCACAGATAAGGAATGTGCCACCATTGCTGTTTCCCTGGGTGAGCAAACAGCTGGAAGGAGGTTCCAGGAGCAGAGCCAGTGTGAAAAAACGAGGTTCAGTTTCCTGCTAGATCGTAAAAAGTTTAATAAAAGCCAATAAAGCAAAAGGTTGTAATGGCTGGGTGCTTGGGACTCGGCCAAGAGCACACCTTAACTCAGAGAACACTTCATAAAATTCATCAGCCTGTTGAATATTCATAGACATTCATGCATTATTCAAAATCGCTCCTCCCCAACCTGTACATCAACATTTTTACCCGTTTTTTTTTTTTTGTGGCTTCTTCTTGTCGGTGCACTCCCTGCTAACAGAGATCAATAAATCCTTTCCCTGGAGTTCAGTGTCAGCCCTGTCTTCATCCACATAGGATAATCCAAAAATGTGAAGAATTTCCTGATTATCTTTCTACCATTCTCTGAGTTAGTTACATGAACAAAACCTTTTTATATCACCATGTTATAGTCCAAAAAAACCATATATATATTTAACACGCTGCTATTTCTAATATTTTCTAATATTTTCTAATATTTTCTAATATTTTGTTAATAGCAGAAGAAAACCTTTTTACCTCACCATGTTATAGTAAAAAAAATACATATATATATTTATCACAGTACCATTTCTAAATTTTGTTAACAGCAGGACTAAAAGCAAATATATAAATTGAGCAAAGTTTGCCAACATGACACACACAGCACCGATTTTAACCTTTACAAAAAGCCAATGACAGAAGGTGTGAGAGCAGGAAATGGCGCTGGGGCTCAGGGACACTCACCCTGCCGGGTCCCCTGGTGGCCACCCTCGAGTCGTGCTGGCCTCTGGCCTCCGCTCTCCTCTCAGTCGCTCTCTCCTGTCCCTCGGGGAGGCTCAGGAAGGGATCCCTGAGTCCAAAAGGCTCCGAGAAGCTCCTCATCACCTGCCTCATGTGCTCATGGTGGGCAGCAAAGGGATCCCTGCGCTCCAGACACGGCCACTGCGTTATTCCGGCTCCAGCACATTCCCTCCAAACTCCACTCGGGGACATTGCACAGCCAAAGCTGTTACTGTCATAGGGCCCCACTGGGCAATCGCCCATCCCTAACAAATTCTGATTTTCCCTTCCCTTCCCTCGGGTTGGATGTTTGAGATCTCTTTTCTCTCAGCTGCTCTCCTGGGTGTCTCTATTCCTTTTCCTCACCGTCTCCAGAAAAACCCAACATTTCCTTCCACCCAAAAAGGAACACTTCCCCCACCAAAAAAAACCCAAAACACTTCCTACTCAAAGGAACATTTCCCCCACCCCAAAGGAACGCTTCCCCCATTAAAGGGACACCTCCCCCACCCAAAGGAACATTTCCCCCATTAAAGGAACGCTTCCCCCATTAAAGGAACACTTCCCCCACCCAAAGGAACATTTTCCCCATTAAAGGAACGCTTCCCCCATTAAAGGAACACTTCCCCCACTAAAGAGACACCTCCCCCATTAAAGGGACGCTTGCCCCACCCCAAAGGAACATTTCCCCCATTAAAGGAACGCCTCCCTCACCCCAAAGGAACATTTCCCCCATTAAAGGAACACTTCCCCCACCCAAAGGAACATTTCCCCCATTAAAGGAACACTTCCCCCACCCAAAGGAACATTTCCCCCATTAAAGGAACGCTTGCCCCACCCCAAAGGAACATTTCCCCCATTAAAGGAACGCTTCCCCCACCCAAAGGAACACTTCCCCCATTAAAGGAACGCTTCCCCCGCCATTACCCTGGTTCATTTCCTCCTTCCATCTCATTTTGCTCTTTGCCATCCCACTGCAAACCAGTTCATTCCAGTGCACAGTCACTTCCCAGCGATGTTCATTTAGGTTTCATGCACCTCATCCTCCTCCCTCTCGGTTCCTGGCACTCCCCACACCCTGCAGGACAGCCCAGCCTTTCCCAGGACACGGCAGCAGGAAAAGCTTCAGCCTGTTCCTGACTTTTCCCTGCCCACCCTTATCTGCAGCCCCACACCACGTGCCCACTTTGATCTTGTGCCAAAGTCACACCTAACTTTATTTTTTTCCTTTTCAAGTGAAAATGACAAACGTGAGGTTGGATTCATTTTGAAATATGATTTTTTTTTTAACACAAAAATATCCCTTTAAGCTATGCCCAGACTTAAACTCAGCCCAAAAGAGACTTTTGAAGTATTTTAGTGATGCCATGGAGCAGCCCCTGCCCTGCTGCCAGCTTTGGCTCCAGCCCTGGGGTGATAAGGAGCTCACCCAGCTCCTTATCCTGTGTTCCCTCACTGCAGGATGAAGAACAGATGGAAAAAGTCGTGGCATGAGCCAAGGGCAGGGAATCACACCAAGCTCGGGATGTGCACAGTGCCAGCAAAGCCCCAAAGCCCACAGAGGTTTGGGTATCAAACACCAAGAGCTCCTCAGTACCAGGGACAGGGAAATCAGATCCAAACTGAGGAATGCCAGGCTTAGGAACAGAAGGAAAGGCTCCCAGTTGCTAATTTTAGGGAGTAATTAATAAAAAGAATTAATGCTGTCAAGTCTCAAAAGAGACACCCCAGTTTTGGTATGATCTAGAGTAAGGTAAAACCAATGGAAAGGGAACAGAAAATCCATTTGGAAGATAAAGTTTCCAAGGAATTAAATCCTGATGGTTTCCAATGACTGAATTCAAACCAGAAATCCAAGAGGAGGAGCTCACCCTGACAAACAGAGATGTACTGAACAAGGCAAAGTCTCTGCAGGGGATTTTAAATCCCTGCAGGACTTTAAGATCCTTGTTCCAAGCACGGATTTTATGGCATGCCAGCAGGTGTAGGACACTCTAATTTAACAATTATTGACTTAAAAGATAACCTTTTTTGGGAGGGAAGATACTTTTGATGAGAAGGATTTGATTTCTGTTATAGCATAAAAGTGATGAGGAGAAAGTGAGGAGTTCACACGGTTTTGCACACCAAATCCGTGCCCTTCATGTGTTAAACACTAAATTATTTTTAAAATTAAAGTCTGGATGGAGACAATTTATACATTTATAGTTCCAGCACTCTGCAGTAACAGAATTTTGTCTAATATTTACTAACCTGACTCTCATCTGATATTAAATATGCAAATATAACGTTACTGCTCACTTCAGTGCATGAAAAATCAGTCCTAGAACAATAAACCCCACTTATTACTTTTGTGAAGTGTACTTTGTATTAGATGTGTTTCTTTTGATTAGATATTAGATGGAAATACCAGATTTTTTTTTTTTTTCCCCCCACTCAGGAAGTTATGTAAGGCTGCAGCTGCAGATTCCCTCTGGAGAGAACACCTGGCACAATAAAGTGAAGAGAATTCCATGCAGAGTGTGCAGTTGGCAGAGAAAACACAACTGCTGTCCTGGCAGGGTCTGAGGGATGGATCCCAGCAGCCTGGGGTGAGTGACTGCTGCTTCCCTGGGACAGCTGCTCACTCAGGGCTCTAACCCAGGCACTATTTCCAGAGCAGCACCAAACTCTGTCCTTATGAGGCAGCTGGAGCCTATTATGACACTGTTTTGGGAGCTAATCTTATCGGAGGTAATCAGCTCATCTCCTTCACTGTATGCAAAGCAGACTGACAGGACAGCGCTGAGAAAATGAGTCTCAATTTCCAGCTCGTCTTTCACACACGCTCCCTGCCCCCACCTCCTCAAATCCTTTTTTCCCTACACCAATGGCTACAATGACAACAGAGGGATAAATTAATAAACAAGCAATTGTTATTTCAAACAAGACCTAATTTCTATTATTTCATTTCGTGCAGAGGATCTGCATTGGGAGGCACAGAACTCACAAGCTGTTACAACAGCAAGAATATTGCTAGAAACCAAGAGTGCTAATGGATGTGACACAGCTTTGGGAATTGTCCTGGAATGTGCTGGAGCTCAGCAGGAGATTCTCCTTTAAGCAGCCTCAGCCAGAGCTGCTGGTAACCAGGAGATCCAGAAAACAAACCACATCACAGGGCCTGCTGCTCCCTTCCTCACCCACCCCTTATCTCGGCTGCTAATTCAATTCCTCAGAGTTTTTTCAAAGATTTCAAATAATTATCGAGGCTTCTCAGAGTGCTCTGCTCCCATTTTCATCCTCTACAAATTACAGTCTCTGACCAAAGACATGAAATGGGGCCAGACCAGGTAATTCAGGAGTTCTGGCTGAAAGGACAAGCCTTTGCACCACTCCCTGCTTATATTTAGATTCCAGTGGCAAAAGAAGATTCCCACAGGGAATAAACCGGGCTCAAACTTGAATAAACAGACAGGAGCCACCACTGTGCTGTGGAAATAAAATCACAGAATGTTTGGGTTGGAAAGGACCTTAGGGATGAGCCTGTTCCACTGTCCCGGGCTGCTCCAATCTTGAACAATTCCAGGGATGTGGCAGCCACAGCTTCCCTGGATCCCCTGTGTGTCCCAGGGAGTAAGAACAAAACCCAACCCGCTGAGGCAGAGCAGCACTGTCCCCTCGGGAAACAAGGGGACAATTTGCCATCAGGGCTCTCACACACGTGTCAGAAAGTTTGAATTGAAGAACACCCGGTGTTCTAAGCAGTGCTGCCATTGAGAAGAGTTCAGAGACAGCCCGTGGCTAAGTGATTAATTAAACACGCACATAAATCCGGATGAGCTCCACTGCAGTCAGGAAACTGAGGAGCAAACCAAGTCAAGAATCTCCAGCCAAGGAGGTGAAGATCTGCTCTGTATGAAACGTGGATTAAACTCTTCCCTGCTGAGAGGGGAGGCAGACTCAAGTCTCGGCTATTGAGCCTCGCTGGGGATGTTTGACCCTGCGCGGCTTTAGGGGGGCTCGGGAGGGGCCGAGTGCGGACACAGGGGCGGTTAAACGGCCCCGACAGCGGCGCTGCCCTTAAACCGGCACCGAGCCCTTACACCGGCACCGAGCCCGGTCCTGACACCGGCACCGAGCCCTTAAACCGGCACCGAGCCCGGTCCTGACACCGGCACCGAGCCCGATCCTGACACCTCCATCGAACCCTTAAAGCGGCACCGAGCCCTTTTAAACCAGCTCCGAGCCCGGTTCTGACGCCTGCACCGAGCCCTTTAACCCCATCCCGGTCCTGACACCTGCACCGATCCCTTTAACTCGACCCCGATCCCAGTCCTGACACCTGCATCGATCCCTTTAACCCGGTCCGATCCCGATCCTTCCTCCTGCACCGACCCCTTTAACCATCACCGACCCCATCTCCTTCCACCCGCCCGGACCCCCGGAGCTGCCGCCGCCAACGGTCGCTCCCACAGCCCCACCCCGGCCCCGTTTTACAGCCCCGGCGCGGCCCGTGGGAGCCCACCGCCGCCTCAGCGCCCTGTCGGCCGATCCCCTCCGCCTCACGGCCGTGCCCCGCAGCCTCCCGTCCCTCACCTGAAGAAGGGATCGTCCTCAAAGCACCTCCCGATCCCCCCGAACATGGCGGCACTCGCTGCGCTCTGCGCGCCCCCGGCCCCGCGCGGCCCCTCCTCACTGCGCCGCGCCCCGCCCACACACGTGACCTGCTCCGGCCCTTCCCATTGGCCGGCGCGCCGAGAGGGGCGGGGCTCCCCGCGCGCCGCCGTTGCCATAGCGACCGCGGGGCCGCCGCTCGCGAAGGGTGCCGGGAACCGGGGATTGGGAAAGCTCCGGGAATTCGGGAATTGGGGAATTGAAATGCGGGAATTCGGGAATTTGGGAATTGAAATGCGGGAATTGCGGCCTCGCTGCTCCTCCCGCAGCCCCGCTCTGCTGCGGGGCCATGCACTGTGAGGCGGGGATAGGCTCGGCCTCACCGCAGCTGCGGCGCGTCCCGCTCCTCGGCGATTTTAGAAATAATTCTATTTTTTCCAGTAGATGGCAGTAAAATAAAGCTGCTTCTCCCTGGGAAGTGGCGGAACGTGGAAAAGCATCGAGAGGCTGGAGTGAAGTATCCGTGACCAGCTATTCCTGGGAAACAGCAGAGAGGGAGGGATGGGACAGGGATGGAGAAGGGACAGAGATGGAACAAGGACAAGGGATGGGACAGGGACATGGATGGGACAGGGATGGAGCAGGGACAGGGATGGAGCAGGGATGGAGAAGGGACAGGGACAGAATATTGACAAGTAATTAATAAATGACCACTTTAAATGATTTAATCACTATGCTAAAGACACTGTGGCGTTTTTAGTGTGAATAGACTTTACCTTCAGAGCAGTCTTAAACAGTTCTAAAATCTTTGAGTGACTGCAGTGCAGCGATTGAGATCATTAAAATATTTGTAACATTCTGTGAGTGAGCAATTAAACCCATCCCAACTGGAGATTTGGTGGTGGAAAGCCCAGAAGAGGCAGAGCTGCCCCCTGAGTTGGTTGATTTGCTGCTCTCCCATCCCCAGAGGTCACCTGGGCAGTCCTGGGGTGACTTTTCCCTGCACAGGGAATGGATTCCCACTGCCACAGGGCAGGGCTGGATGGGATTTTGGGCAGGAATTGTTCCCTGGGAGGGTGGGGATGGATGGGATGGAATTCCCAGATTGGCTGTGGCTGCCCCTGGATCCCTGGCAGTGCCCAAGGCCAGGCTGGACATTGGGATTTGGGACAGTGGGAGCTGTCCCTGCCCATCCAGGTGGATCTTTGAGGTCTCTCCCAACTCAAACAATTCCATAACTCCCTGAACTCAGCCTGTAAAAAAAGGATTTCTAACCCTGGGACAGGGATGTGGAACTTTCCTACATCACCCACACTTCCCTGGAGGATTTTGTGCCAACTCTGACTGCCAAGGATGAAAGCTCTCTGCATCCAGAGCAGCTCCAGCACTGGATCCTGTGCAGGAACCCAGGGATGAGAGCTGCAGTAGTTGTTAATTTTCCATTTTTCCTGGATCCTGAGCAGGATGTGAGGGATGAGATGTCAACGATTGTTCCTTTCCC